CCTGGTGAAAGGAAATAAAGAGAAACATAATGAAAATTGGATTATTGACCAGCTGCATAACTAAACCTGGAGTTGTACAGTGCAAAAGTAAGAGAAAAACAATAACCTTGACTTAGAAATGACCATGCATAAGCTATCTTTGACCTTTATTAGCACCCTGTCCCTGTTGCTGCAAATTAACATCAATCTCATTCAATGCATCATCAAACAACCGAGGAAACTAAATGGCAGAGAAAGAAAATGGCTGCAAATTATAACATACCTGAACTTCAATCTCCACCTCTACATCAGAATCATATAGAACATTACCACGGGAGTAATCCTTTGATGATCCAGCTATACACATATTCAAAGAAAAGAAACAAATGTAAGCTATTGACAAAACTATAAACACAAAAAAGTTTTTAACTTTTTAAATTGCAGTAACAACAGTGTTAAAGTAATTACCTTTTAAACCAGCAAATAACCAACTCTGAGTACACATCAATGTTTCTATGGTAATCGGGTCAAGCCTACTACGCTGTGGAGAAATTATCCTTCCACTCGTACTGAAAGCAGATTCGGAAGCAACCGTAGAAACTCGAATCGCTAAGATATCCCTTGCAAGTTTATGCAGTATAGGAAATTTGCCTTTGTTTGACTTCCACCAGCATAAAACATCAAAACCTTGTGTTTTAGGAAGAATTCCATCATCCAAATACACATCCAGCTCTGATCTTGCAATTTTCCTTTTCTTCTGAGAAGCATAGAGATCGAACTTGGTAGTAAACATTTCTCCATCTGCTGCATTTGCTTGTGAGGCCCTCATATGATTATGTTCTTCAGTATCCTCTTCTTCTCTATCTTGTTCCTCTTTTTCATATTGCTGGTATAAGATACGACAAATACCCAAAATCTTCTCTACTTCCTCTTCACAATTCTCAGGATAGATCTCACCATAGTAACAGTTCATCACATCTTTTTTGTACCTTGGGTCAAGAACCGTTGCCACTCCCACTAAACCATGCACATTAGACCAATATTTGTTAAACTTCTCTATCATATCAAACGCCATCTTCTCAATTGCTTCAATCCCACAAACACTCCAACGATCTAAAGCAAGCTTAGCCTTACAAATAACCGAGAAACACAAATTCACAGTAGGGTATTCAGTGCCAGATAACAGTGTAGTGGCATTATAAAAAGTCTGCAGCCTATCACATATTTCCTTGCTCAAAATCCAATCATCCTCACTTGGATAACACTTTTACTTTGGTTCACGAATTTTCAAGCGAGAAAATACCTCTTTATACTCTAAGGCTGTATTCAGCATCATATAGGTAGAGTTCCAACGAGTTTCACAATCAAGGATAGGCTTCTTACCAGATGTGATACGAAGCTTGTTTTTAAGTTGACAAACAGTTTCTTCAAATTTTTCCAATCTCTTCGGGGTTCCTATCCAGAATCGAATGTTGTTTCGTATTTTCTCAATTCCTGGTCCAATGACCTTCAACCCTTCCTTCACGATCAAATTTAATATATGCGCACAGCAACGCATGTGGATCAAAGTACCATCAACCAAAAGAGACTCCAACTCGAGCTTCTGTAGGAGCAGATTCACCATCACATCATTGGTTGAGCAATTATCAACCGTGATAGTTGACAACTTATGGTCAATATTCCAGTCCAACAAGCACTGCTTCAACTCTTCACAAAGTGCTTCGCCTGTATGTGGAGAAGGCACATATTTAAACCTGAAGTAACAGAAAAATGAAAGCACTTGAGTTTCAAAACTAAAAAAGTCATTGTAATAGTAAGAAACAAACCAGGCAGCAAGAAACAAACCAGGCACAAAGAACTAAGTTTGCAGAATATGGTATACCTGATAATTCGATTCTGCAATCTCCAACTTTCATCGATGTAATGGGCAGTGATTGCCATAAAGCCCTTATTCTGAGATGATGTCCACATATCAGTTGTTATAGCCACACGACATTCACTTCTCTCAAAGAGTTTCATTGTTGCTTCCTTCTCAAGATCATATAAGCTAAAACAATCTTTTTTAATTGTGTTCCTTGACACCATCTTGAAACATGGATTTAAGCTCTGGCAAAAGCTTCGAAATCCTTCATGGTCCACTATGGTCAGGGGATACTCATGCTTGATAATTGCTCTTGCAAGCTCTTTGCGAGAATTATCCTGATCAAAGCTGAAAGGAGTAAGCTGGAACTTATCTTTACCCATGTTACCTTGTAAAACTTGTTGCTTTATGTCTGTGGCTTTCCTTTTAGAACATCTATAATAGTGATTCTTCAAATGGGTTGTCCCTTGCTTCGGGTCTCCAACAAGCTTCTTACTACAATACTTGCATTTAGCCTTTGGCACTCCATCAACTTCTACCTTATGATAATGGGCCCACCACTTTGAATAAACCTTCTCCAGTGTACCAGTACCACGCTGGTGATTCTCGTTATTATTTGTTGCTTCAATAGGGGGATCTTGAGGTTGGACAACAACAGCATTTGAAGGGTTTGGCACAACCATAGGCGCATATTCATGTTGATTTGGGTTAGATTGTGGAGCAGAAGCGTCCATGACTGTGGCTGTCGACAGGGATAAACAAATAATAACAATCAATACAACAAATCGAGATTTCAATCTGGAGGCGTAGAACGATGAACAAATTACTTAAAACAGGACAATCGGCACAAGAAATTAAGATAGAGCCAACTTACAAGTAATAGCAAGAACACAACTTGACCTCGGCAGCTCCTACTTGGCAGTGAAGGAGATGAAGATGATATGCTATTATGAGTTCTGATGGTGTACTCTTCCGCGAGCCCTTCATCTTCTATTTAAAAGCCTCTAGTTTATGGGGAAGCTAATGGAGTTATTGATGACAGAGGGAAAAGTTGGAAGATGATTGGGAATTTGGGAAGACGGAAGATGAAGGGAATTTTGGGAAGTTGGAAGGTGATGGGGAATTTCAATTTTGGGTACTCAAAATTGCTAGGGTAGATGACAGAGGCAGGCAGGCAGCCCTTGCACGCACGCCACAAATGGATATTATACGGGGCGGGGCGGAGCGGGGCATCACCAGTACCCATGCCTGCTCTGTTCAAGCTGCGGGGCGGGGCAAGATCCGCTCTGTCCTGTCACGGATCGAGTTTTATCCACCCCATCACAGGCCGGGTCGGGGAAAATCCATCGGATCGGGCCTAAACTGCCATCCCTAATCTTGTCCACTAGGAAGCTGTCTGCAGAACCAAGTCGAGGGGTGGATTGGATCTGAGGAGTGCACATGAGCTGAACCTAGCCTTTCTGGCAAAGATGGCTTGGCAGTTTATGAAAAGACCGGAGGAACTTTGGGTACGCGTTCTGCAGGCTAAGTATTTCAGGAAAGTTAATGGGGTCCTGGTGGCTAAATCAGCGGCGAGGAGTTCAAATGTTTGGCGAGGCATCAGGAAAGCTTGGCCAATCATGCTAGCAGGGATGATGATGGGCATCAAAGATGGACAGAGCATCTCTTTCTGGACTGACAAGTGGGCTGACTTTGGAGAGACTCTCTTGGAGTTGGCCAAGCCGACTGCCCTCCGATTGACCTGGCGGCCACGGTAGCGGAGTTCAGCACATATGATGGTGAGTGGAACATCCCAAAGCTTTGTTCTTTTCTTCCTGAGGAGATTGTCTTGCAGGTCCAGGGTATTCAGCCTCCCTGAGTTGGGTCAGGTGAGGACGTGATGACATGGGGACTGGAGGTTGACGGGCGCTTTCGTGTTCATTCGGCATACGACTTAGCAAAAGGGGTGGAGGATGGAAGAGCAGACATTGATTGGAGATCCATTTGGAGCTGGAGGGGACCTGCTAGAGTCAACCACTTCATTTGGCTGGCGATGCGGCAGCGACTACTGACAAACCAGGAACGGACCAGGCGCCACATGTCGGAGTCTCCCTTTTGTTCCCTCTGCAAAGGACACGTCGGAAACAGTTTTGCATGTGTTGCGGGACTGCCTTTTTTCCTGGTTAACTTGGTTGCAACTCCCCCAGCTTTCTGATCAGCGAAACTTTTTTGACAGTAATATATAGGATTGGTTACTGCGGAACATCAACCGTGAGCACACTTTCCTTGAGTTTGGCATTATATGTTGGTCCCTCTGGCGGACCAGGAATGACAAAGTTTTCCAAAATAAGGTCGTTACAGCTGAAGCATTCTTACAGCGTGTCCAGGCATGATTAATGTCGTGCGGATTGCCATGGACAAAGATAAGCTCGTTCATACGCATAATCTTCCCGCAAGAACGGAGGTGGAGATCTCATGGAAGACGCCACCTCCCAAGTGGGTTACTCTCAACTCAGACGGCTCCGTCCTTCATGAGTCAGGGCACGCTGCAGCTGGTGGCCTGATTAGAGATCATACAAGAAGCTGCTCTGCAGCTTTTGCTTTTAACTTGGGCATTTGTTCTGTTACCCGAGGGGAGTTGGGAGGCGCTGTGGAAGGTCTTCAGTTGTCCTGGAATGAAGGTCATCGTCGGGTTCGAGTTGAGCTTGACTCGAGGTGCGTGGTCCAGCTCTTGTAGTCTACAGAGCGTCCCGACCACCATCATGTTGCTTTGATTGACAGGTTCCAGGATCTACTTGCCCTAGACTGGGAAGTGAGGATTTGCCACGTGTATCGTGAGGGAAATCAGTGTGCTGACGTTCTTGCTAATAGAGGTCATTCTTTACCTTTGGGTTTTCATATGATTGATGTTTCGGATCCGTCCATTGGTAACCTCCTTTTGTATGACTGTCAAGGCATTTCATTGCCTCAATTTATTGTGAATGAAAGCTGAGATGCGTTGCATCCATTTAAAAAAAAAACTACTACTTTCATATACTGCCAAGTGAAAAGAAAGAAGACATGGGCCTTTCCTTAAAGAAAAGGATATGGTCCAGTCCATATACCTTTCTGGGCTTCGGCTCGATCCATATTTTGCCCCTGCAGGCTGCAACCAGCCTTCTGTCTTTGGCTCTTTGCAGAACAGTGAACACTTCCTAAATCATAAGATACGGCTAGCGGTTAGCACTTCGAAAAAATTGAAACCTCGAGAACGCTCTTTCTTCCCTCCGTTGCTGCTTGCCGGAGGACGCTTTCTGCAAAGTCTGTCTCTTCTTTCAGATGAAGTAAATAATAATGGGGGTGAAGAACTTGTGGGATATCTTGGAATCGTGCAAGAAAACTCTGCCACTCCATCATCTTCAGTAAGTTGGTTCCCTTGCTCCTTCATTTGCTCATTTCCCTCCTCTTTCTCGCCTAATTAGTTGGAAGCTGAGTGGGAATTTGGGTAATTTAACTTTGAAGGAACAAGAGGGTGTGCGTAGATCTGTCGTGCTGGATGGTTCAGCTTGAAAGGGTGAACAAATCACATTGTGCTCTCAAAGAGAAGCTCTATCTCAAGGGTCTCTTTCATCGCATTAGAGCGCTCATTGCTTTGAATTGTAGCCTCATCTTTGTTACCGGTAATGTATTTGCTTGGAATTGTTCGAAAGTTGGAATCTTCTGTACGATTAGACTTCCGCTCAGTAGATTTTGGTAGTTGGGTTGCTGATGATTTCTTTGGGAAAGTTCGGGTTGGATTGATAGTCTTGATGGGTGTGGTTAGGCTTAGTTGGAGCAGCCTGTCCAGTTCTCTGGTTGTTTATAATAAGGCTTCGGCTGGATTTTTGGTGCCTGCTTTTCCAGATGGTTCGATTCCAGCAATCAAATTGGCCACTTACAGGCGCCGCTTGAATTCTGGAACTGAGGTATTTTCTTTGGAGACTATTCATTCTCCATGATTTATTCCTATTAGTTTGTCCAGGCTTTTGAGAAATTTTCATTGTGATACTGCAGGCTGCTCAAGATGAGATTGGTTCACAAAATGCATGCTCACTTCGCAGAAATGCAGGTTCGGAGTTCTCTCGCATGATAAAGGAAGCAAAGTTGCTGGGATCAGCCCTTGGGATCCCTTGCTTAGACAGGTAAAGCTGCAATTTAACTTGTCGTTTTCCTACTTGATTTGTAGCATTGAAGGCAAGAGAGGACAGCGTTGTTGTTGGCTTTCTGTTATATCAATGCGGAGATCATTAACCAGGAGGCGATGATGATTGTGCTCTATTGTTCTCAACAAAGAACCCTGACAACCCGTTCTCTGTCTTTTCTCAGCGTCGAGGAAGCTGAAGCACAGTGTGCAGTATTAAATGCAGAATCTCAGTGTGTAAGCATCAAGATTTTCTTTTTCTTACTTAGTTACTTGAGACTTTGCTGGTATAGTTTGGAGCACTTGAGAGTTTGTGGCCTATCGTTTTACTTGATCAGGATGGATGCTTCAGTTCAGATTCAGATATTTTCCTTTTTGGTGCAAGAACTGTGTACAGAGACATATCCCTTGGTAAGACTGATCAGCGGATAACTGTTCTTTCAAACTTCTTCAGCCTCATTAACAACTTTATTCTGTAAATGCCATTGCTAATCTTAATGTCTGATGGTAAGGGGATAGTGGTCACGTCGTGTGCTATGAAATGGCCGACATAGAAACAAAACTTGGGTATGGTAGGAACTCGTTGGTAAGATTCTCCATCTCTAATGCACTGAAGGGAACATTTAGCCTGAGGGCCTGATCCAACTTATGCACTGAAGGCCAGGGCTAATCTACGAGTTTGTGTTGTTGTCTGCAGATTACATTGGCCCTTCTTCTTGGAGGGGATTACTCCAGTGGAGTTTACGGGCTGGGACCAGTATGTTTGACTATATTGTTATTCCCTTCGTTTTGTCAAACCTTTTACTTCTTCACCAGAATGGGGCAACAACAACAATGCACCTAATTTCCTATTATATGCAGGAGTCAGCTTGCCAAATTGTGAAAACAGTTGGAGACGCCAGCATCCTTCAGAAAATAGCATCTGAACGGCTCTCCCTTGCTAGGAAGAAGAAGACTTCAAAGAAACATGACTCTGCATCTCTTAATGACAACCAGTTGGAACCTGAAGCTCCTGTTGACTCAGAAAGGCAAAAGGAATTCTTGCAAGTAATCAATGCATATCTCAAGCCCAAGTGTCACTCCATCGATTCAGAAGCAGTCTACAGGGTTCTTGGCCAGTACCCATTTCAACCTGCAAAGTTGCAGCAGATTTGTGCCGACTTCTTTGATTGGCCTCCTGAGAAAACAGGTAGACTGAAACTTTTCTTTGATGAAAAGAAACCCATTTCTTATTTTAAGGGCCTGCTTTTAGTGCCATTGCCTTGTTCTTGAGTTAGATGAATACATCCTCCCAAAAGTAGCCGAGAGGGAACTAAGGAGATTCGCGAACTTACGTTCCACTTCATCACAGCTAGGAGTTGCGCCTTCTCTAAACAGGGTACTCTGCCTTTTCCATCTCCTCGTCCTTCTCATCTTTCTGTTCCCATTCAGAAATCATATGATAAAATTTCCTATATGTGTTTTACACAGATGCCAATCAAATGCCCTGTTGCTGAGATCATCAAACCTAGAAAAGTCCAGGGAAGAGATTGCTTCGAGGTCTTGTGGGAAGCTTTCAATGGGCTTAAGACCTCCATAGTTCCAGCAGATCTCATACAAAAGTAAGTTTAATGATGAGGGTGGGAATTGCTAATGTCGGTCTTTGGTAAGATTCTTTTTCATATAACAAAAAATCATATGCGCTCTCCAGTGCTTGTCCAGAAAAGATTGTGGAGTTTGAGGAGAACAAAGCTCTAGCGAAGAAACAAATTCAGCGAAAAGCAAGAACTAAGAAGCCACAGAAGGGGCATGCTGCTGCAGAACTCGACTTGAAGCTCCAAAATCTACTGCTTGAAATTGATTCAGGAAATGGAAGCAACAGCGCTCCTCATGAAGATGCCAAGAAATGTGATGGGATGGTCGGTTACTCAGAAGCTCGGCATGATGAAGAAGCAGGTTCAGAGAGTTGTGACATGTCAATTTCACCTCTTCAAAGTGATAAAACTACAACAGAGTTCATGTTGATTTCGCCTCTCCAAAGTAATAGCACTAGCACGGAGTTCATTGATCTTCTGACGCCTGCCCCACTCCCTAGTAGTCGCGTATTTCCAACGTGTCAAAATGAGAATGCTGAACCCATAGTAATCCCGGTGATAGACTTGAGCGACTCGGAAACCGAGAGGTCAACAGAGCATTTGAGAAGAGCCAGAGACCTTAGATTGTTCATAGCTAGCATTAAGGATTGACAATTTCTAGTCAACTATGCACTTACAATGGTATGTTGTAAGTTACTGAGATCCCCCAAAGAAAAAGGTGAATGAACGTCTGTTGATTAATGATCACCATACATGCGTATGAAAGCTTTTTGTACATGCAGATTCCTTCACGAATGAGAATCCGGATGATAAAACCTTTTAACAATAAACAGAACAGCTCTCATCCATAAGATCATAATTCATTGGCCATTATTTGTGTGGTTTTCTGAGATTCAATCTGCTTCTTACTGTTGATCAATGATCTGCATTCGTACTGTATTATCTCCTAGTTTGCCACTTTCTGCCAAATCCAACCAGGTAGCCATGTGATCACATCATAACTAATTCATCACAATAATCAAATATAACAATTCAAGATCCACCTCAACCCTCGGTTGCTTTTCAGTTTCAGGAAAGCATGCACTTCCTCATGTGTAATAACACAACAAAGTCCTACAGCCTCATCAATGCCTAACATAAAGGCCAGGGAATGTCTGAATCCACTCTCTGCAGTCTGCACTGGTAAGCAGATAACACCACCGGCATAGACCAAATACCAACTGTGTCAAGTTTCAAAAGTGAAAACTCAATCTTACAATGGAGATAACTAGGAAAACATGAGACAATTTGGGAATACAGAGATGTGGCACACTCCCAGCTGACACTAAATAACATCTCTCAAACGTAACAGTCAATTAAAGACTTCCTCATCTCATCCACGATGGCGCTGGGTTGAGCTTCCCTCAACTTGAAAACGTTCTCGATGACAGACAATTCTGTTGCTGTAGTGTCTGAGCCACAGAATGCAGTCCAGTCATTAATTGTCATTCCTGCGGCTATGAGATCACTGCCACGGTTAACTGTTCCGGCAACCAAGGGGACCTGAAGAAGGGTGGATAGCTCATCCAGCTCTTCAATGAAAGTGTGGGGGTGCACCTGCATATAGTTTTGGTTGGTGGAAATGAGATCATGGCACGTATTGTGCAAACTCTAGACAAGAAAAGAGAAGTAAAAGGTTAGTGTGCCCTTACCATGCCGCCTCTGTTTGAAAGAGCACAGTAGGTTCCTACAAGAATATTACCAGCGATCGTCGTCCTGAGTACTTCAACCCCAAGAACATCAGCTATCAGTTCTTCAGTTTCCTAGTCATAGTAGAATTGGAAGGGATAATTAGCCCTGAAGCAAATGCTATGAACTGAGATATTTCAAGCAATGCTGCAAACTTTTTAGCAACATAAGACATTTGAGTGATGATAACAGACATGTTTTGGACTACTGTTTTACTACTCGAACAATTTGCTATAATGTTAGCACAAACAACAGTTATAAACCCTTACCCTGTCAAGATCAGTATGTGCAAGAGCAACATGATCATTACAAGCAATGTGATTTCCAAGAGCATTCAATCTCTCGTCTATCCTCTGGACAACAACTGAATCAGGTAGACTGTTCCTCAAGTGCTGAAGTTCTACAGAGTGAGAAGCGAGCACAGATGGTTAGAGTCGGTCAATCAACGAAGGCACTAATTGACCAGAAGCAGACATGTCGTCGAATAAAACTCATCAAACTCACCCTAGTGGTGGTGTGTGGCACAAGAAGTCCATTTTTGTTTCCTGCCAAAGGAAGGATAGATGAGTGAGCACAAATCATTGGCAAACGACGACGACAACAATACGAAACAACAGACAAACACTGATCTTACCAGCACATGTCCTGCCGATTATTCTAGTGCCCGCAATTGAGGTCTTAACCACGGGAATGACATCTGCCAACTCGGACTCATAGATACTGCAACAAGGGCAAGCAGTCCAGAGACCAGCCATTCCAACAAAAAAAAAAATCGTTTCAATCATCATCTCATAATCGTCGCAGAAAAGGTTCAAACTTTATCCGGAAGAAGCGTTTGTACCTGTAGAAGCTTTCAGACCCTCCAATCGCGACCAAGCAGTATGCATTTGTGAGCTTGGAGAAAACACCAACTTCACAATTGTTCTCGAATTGAAGCCCTAAGTAAGGAAAACAAACTATCTTAAGCTATACATAAATAAGAAAAACTTGTTCTAGTCTTCACCCGAACCATTAGCAATAATTTTGTCAGGAAACTTACTGGTCGCCATGACGAACTACAAACAGCAGCCAGGGATTCAGAAGCTACAAGCACGCCGATATAATCGAGAGCTACAATGCAGAAAAAAACGCCACTTTCAATCACGACAGAAGAGAATTGACAGAACATACAAAAAAGACTACAAAGTAGCAGAACAAAGAAGGATGGAGCATAGAGTGATTCCGGGACTGGGATTAAGGCATAATCAATCGGCTGCGTAATGCTGCAAGCTGATACACGCAAGAGCGGAGAAGAACAAGTAGAAAGGAAGGAGAAGTACCTTGGATTAGGGTTTCTGTTCTTGTTTTCCAAACTTTCAGATGGAGTTTTTGTTCGTTAGCTGGATGACTTGGCTCTCACGGACACTTATGTGCTGCTTAGGGCAAGAAGGTAAACCTAGAACAGCGCGGCGCTTTATTTGACCTAAGGAAAAAGTTGGATTGGGCCTTCTATCTGTTCGGCCCAATACATATTGATTCATCACAAATCATTATACATGTTGGGCATGCCTTCGTCTAAGAGTGCGGATCTGGTGACTAAGGGGGGGTGCTTAGTCACTTGACTAAGCCCCTCCCAGCCCTTAGATCTGGACACTTCAATTCAATGGTTAAAAAGTGGGAAGGGCTATTTAATTAATAACAGGGGTAGTTTGGGTATTATGGAAAATTACGAAGTATACAAACCGAATTTACAATCAGTACAAACCATACAAACATACGAACAGTACAAACTAGAGCGACAAAACATACAAACAGATTTACAAACATTACAAACGTATGAACTGTACAAACAATACAAACTAGACCGACAAACAATACAAACCATACAAAAAGAAAAAACAACTGGGTTGACTTTTGAGGCTCCATCCCTATATAGAGGGGCTCCTTCCCAAAGTCAACCCGGGTGTTTTTTAGACATACAAACAGTACGAACATGGTTGACAAAAATGACAAACTAGACCGACAATCCATACGAACGGGAAAAAACACCCGGGTTGACTTTGGAGGCTCCATCCCTATATAGAGGGGCTCCTTCCCAAAGTCAACCCGGGTGTTTTTTAGACATAATAAACATTACGAACATGGTACACAAAAATGACAAAGTTTACAAACATGGTGCATAAAAATAACAAAGTTTACAAACATTACAAAAAAAAAACGACAAACATTACAAAATAACAAAGCATACAAACATTACAAAATATGTCAACAAACATCACAAAATTAGCACTATCGCCGGGAAATTCTTCTCCGGCGACGATGTTCGCCGGAAAAATGTTCCGACCAGAAAAATTTCCGACCAAAATCTCTCTCTCTCTCTCTCTCTCTCTCTCTCTCTGACAAAATAATGGCGCAGCATGAGGGAGAGAATTCCCTGGGCGGCAGCGGCAATTAAACAATAATGGCGACGACCGCCGGCAATTAACGACGGAGACGGGAGGCCGGACGGAAACGCTGGCGTTTTTTTTTCATTTTATAATTAAAAATAAAAAATAAATATACAATTACTATATTGTCCTTCATTAAATTGGATTAATTGAAGCCCTTGGATTTTAATGATGTTGAGTGGCTGAGATTCACTTAGCCATGTGACTAAGGGACCCCCCTTAGTCACCTGATCTTAGCCCTTCGTCTAATGCTCTAACGCCCAGTTGAATTGTGCGATAAGTGAAGGGTTGATTTCCTCTTTTTTTTTTTTGTGAGAATGGTTAATTTCAATTTTGGTAATTGTTATTTATTTTAATTTATTGTTAAAAATGAGGTGGAATATAGTGATGGCAATGCGGAGGGGCGGGTACCTCGATATCTATGTCTCGCCCCACGCTACTACGAGTCAGGACGAGTAATACCCGCACGAGTATGGGTAGGCCGGGTCGACATATTATTACATGTTATTAGAAAAAAATACAAGTAAAATTTTACTTTTACGATAAAACAAAGAGAAAACACTTTATGAATGAAAAATTGTGATAATAGAATGGGTAATTAATTGAGTCTAACTATTTGAAATATCAAGTCTAACTAGTTGAAGAGAAGTCAAAATAGGAGAAATATGAAGGGACAGGTTACGGTGATTACTATTTTATAGTAATCACCGTGGTTACTAAGGGCACATCGGGTATAACAAAAAATTTATTAATGATATTTTTTAATAAATTACATTTTAAGAAATTACATAAATATATTAAATACAATTTCTCTCTCTCTCTTTCTCTCACTTCCACAATTTTCAGCCAGATCTCTCTTCCTTCTTTTTCTCAATCTTTCCTTGATTTCGTTCATCCAAACTAATACCGCTGCAACCACAAAACAATAAATCAATACCAATCCATTAAAAAAAATACTACCATTGTACAAAACATCAATATCATTCAAGAAATAAAAACACTACCATTTCACAAAACATCAATACCATTGCAGATATAATCACTACCAATGCGACAAAATCAATACCAATGTAACAAAATCAATACCAATGCGACGAAATCAATACCAATGCGACAAAAATAATACCAATGCGACAAAAACAATACCAATATGACAATAACACTACCACTACGGGGAAAAATGACTACCATTTAAAAAAAAACATACCAATGTACATCTCCATCGGGAAGTAAAGGGTCATCGGCCAGAACCCCACCGACCCCAAAAGACCCACGATGTCGTTAAAGAACGGGAGCAACATGGAGATCAAAGTTGTGGTAATGACGAAGATGGTCCTCCACACCAATTTGAACAAGTTGAAGTTGTAATGGCCCCAGGGGAGTGGGATTCTTGATCACATCCACCGGGTTCGAAACCACCGCCGCCACGAACCCCGCCGTCACGTTGGTCCCCAGCCCGTCGCCCATCACCCCTTTCTCCAGAATCGTCTCCTTGAACTAGTCGTACGACGCCAATTGCGACGCCGTCACCAGCATTGCCCTATTCACCGTCATTGCCGACCCGCGCCACAAGCTCCCGATCCCTTCCTGCCGTGACATCCGCGCGATCGCGTCCACCACGCTGGTGTAGTTCCGATCCCTTCCTTCCGGAGAACAGGGCCTTGACGCCTTCCTGCTGGACGATTCGAGCGCCGACCGCGATTGGGCCGACGCGGGGCGGCGCAGGGATGTGAATTGAGGTCCCGTGGTGGTGGTGAGGAAAGGCGAGGGCTGGTCGGAGGGCGGCGGTGGAGGCGGAGGATTCGCCCTGGAGATGCATCCGGACCTTGATTAGGTCGATTGGGTGGTGAGAGCTTGCGGCTACGGCGGATTTGGCTGTAGAAGTAGGGTTAGGGTAGAATATATAGAATAATCAAGTGTAGTCCTTTTTTTTCTTCCAAAATTACCCTGAGGCAATCTTAACCGTAAGATTAAAAAAAGAGGAAAGAGAAGAAAATAAATGGTGGATACTGATGAAGCCACGGTGGCTACTAGAAATTCAGTTTCCACCCTAACGCATTCCGAAATAGGAATAGATATTGTAAGAAATTGGGATACAATATGCTAAGAACTGGGCAGCGCGGGGCGGGGCAGGTAGGAAGTAAATACCCATGCCCCACACCCTACTACGGGTCGGGTCCCGACGCGGTGGGTCCAAATTGTCATCCCTAGGTGAAAATTGTTGAAGAATATTTTTTAATTAATTTTTAATTGCCACATCACTCATTTAATGGTCAACTATGAGAGTTGACTGCCATGTAAACAAAAGTTAACAAAAATGGACGGAGATTGACCAAACTTGAAATATTTTTAGTGACCAAATGTGAAACTTTTTAGTCAATTTCCTCTTCTCATTGCCTCTGTTTTATGATTTTTCAGTTCTTTTTTTCTCAGCTTTTCAGCTTTTGGTTCGACCATGATTTGGTCCCTTCTTTCCATTTGTGGGTTTGTTCTCTCCCCTTCAGTGGTTGATTTTGTCCCTCAGATATGGAGATGCCTTCTCTTAGATTCAAAGGAGGCTGGACTTTGTCCAACTTGTCTCTTCTTCCTCATGCCCTTCGTCTGCCTTCTTTTGTTTCACCTTGCAGATTTTGGTGATTCGAAGATGTGAGTATGTGACCGCTAGCTTGAACTCAGTTTGAAGATCTTAGAGACAGATGGTTTTCTCATGGTGTCGTCACCGGCCGCCCATGCAACTTCAGCTCTTCTTAAGTGCTCTTGGTCGGCGAGGAACTGTTGAACTGAGGGTATCTTGATCCGGCGAGGCTAGGTCGGAGGTGGCTATGGTTCGTCTCCGCTTTCCTCTACTCGGGTTGGAGGCTTCTGCTTCATGTCTAGGCTCCATTGGCTTTGTTCCCGCGGTGAGAGGAGATCATATACGTGTGATAGACCGTCATTTACACATGTTTTTACCCTTATACTTACACCGTTTGAGGGGTTGATTCTCGTGTTTTAGGCCGATTTCACGCTAGGTTGTGCTTGGTTGTGTTATTTCAGGTCCTAGTACGTGAATGGAGGCTTAGGAGCGAGTCTGGGGTCGACTGGACGAAGAACGGACGAAGGGCGAGCTTTTGGAGGAGTGCACGGGCAGACCAGGAGGCTGCACGGCCATGCACTAGGGCCATTTGGCCGTGCGCCTCACGACGAGAGCATGCACAGGCACAATCCAGGCTTGCACGACCGTGCGCCTGGCCGTGCAAGAAGGCTGAGCTTGAATAAATGAAACGGCGCGTTTTGATAGTTGCACGGCCAGAATGGGGTGGTGCACGGCCGTGCACCTGCCCGTGCAACTCGGGAAGACCGGTTTTAATGCCTATTCCGAGCCAAAAGTGGGAGGATCGCGTTTTGAGAGCAAAAACAGAGCCCTAGAGAGAGAAAGTGCGAAGAACTCATCCTAGAAGCTATCTTGGAGCTGGATTTCATCGGATCGAGCTTGGAGATCGTCATAGGAGTGAAAATCATCGTCCCGGAGCAGATTATCCTCATCGTTATGAGTATGACTAATCCGATTCTTGTTTTCTCTTCTCTCTCTATGGAGTAGAACCTTTCTCTCACTTGGGTATGAAGAACCCTAGTTCCTGATGTTAGGGATTTGATTGTAATGACTTGGGAATGATATTACTGTTTGATTTTAATCGAATGACGCATGTTTCATGAATTGATTTGAGTCTGATCAGCTTGTTTCAATTTCTGCTTCAACCTGAGATAGATAGAATCTGATTAGGTTGTTAGAGCCTCTTCATTCGATAGTAGGAGATTGGCTATACGAGAGTTAGCCAGTTGACTACTTTGTACTGGTGTTCTTGACGCCAGTAGTGGATTCTGTGTTCATAGCCTCAGCTTTCTATCCCGGTGAAGACTAGTCGTCTGCCGGGTAGTTAGACTGAGAGGGCTTGGTCAGCTTAAGAGATTCCAAGCTACTGTCGGATCTTCCGCAGTCTAATCAACAGTAAATCAACCCAGGAAATTACAATTGAACCTAACTAAGGGGCTAGGGGGACTCAATCCCGAGTGACTCTTAACTGCTTTGGAAACCGAACCATTTCCTGCTTTCTTACTGCCTTTGCTTTAAACAACAATCACTCGACTTAGTTTGCTAGATAATAGAGAATCACGGAGTAAGCAGTAGATCTAGACCCCGGGTTGATAATTAAACTTGCCTATACTGCAGTCCCTTTCAGTGGTTACACTTGGCCATTGTTAGGTGTTGTGTTTTAGCGTGTCAAGTTTTTGGTTCCGTTGCCGGGGACCCTCTAGGTTATTGGGGAAACGTGAGAATTTGTTACTCTAGCTTTTATTTTCTGTATTTTCTTTCTTCCACCTGTGTGCCTTCACGGGTTGTTTCTTCTGAGTGTGTGCAGGTAGTGCATGACCCGTAGCCAGTCGGGAGATACTACCACTTGACCAGGAGCTTGAACGAACCTGCAGGAACTCCAAGCGGGTTCTAAAGGCGCGACTGGCTGCGGAGGAAGGCGCTGTCACAGCTACAGATCGGAGAAGAAGAAGAAGGCGAGATGGGTGATCCGCAGAACACGATGTGATCCCCGAGGAGCAGACCATGGGATCCTACTGGGCCGCTAGGGCTGCGGACATGAGGTCACCTATTCAACACCCTCAGGTCCCAGCCAACAACTTTGAGGTGAGCACCTCCGTGATCACCATGCTGCGCGGTTCAGTAGTGTTCCGTGGTAAGGAGGGAGAGTGCCCTCGATCACATCTCAGGCGATTCCACGAGCTCATCGATGGAATCAAGATCAATGGGGTACCAGCAGATGCCATCCAGCTGAGGTACTTCCCATTCACTCTGGAGGGGCAGGCCAAGGAGTGGCTAGACACTCGACCTCCGGGCTCCATCACCACGTTCGCCAACCTGGCGGACAAGTTCCTCACCCGCTACCATCCTCCATCCAAGACAGCTGACCCAGAAGCAATTACACATTTTGCTCAGGATGAGGATGAGACCATCAGGGATGCATGGGAGAGGTACAACAGTCTTTTCCTCAGGTGTCCCAATCATGGTTTCAACGATGCGTTCAAGGTGGGCACCTTCTATCACGCCCTCTTCCCGGAGGACAAGCAGCTGATCGATTCGGTTTGTGGCGGGAACATGCTGACCAAAACCCCGCCACAGCTGAATCAACTCTTTGAAGAGATGGCGGAGAATGGTTATGATTGGGGCACTGCCAGGAGATCGAGGAGAGCACCAGGCCGGGGTGTGCATGCTGTGGGCACCCAGTCATCTGATTTGGTGCAGGTAGTATCGAAGCTGGTCTCAGCTATCGATCGTTCCGGGATGATTCCAGGGACCGGACAGCAGCAGGCGATGCTCTGCCAGTGGTGCGAGAGCACCCATCATATGGTGGAAGACTGCCAGGCGATGAAGGAATCGACCACACCCCAGGAGCAGGTGAACTTCATCAACAATGTCAGGCGCAATGACCCCTACAGCAACACGTACAATGAGGGGTGGCGCCAGCATCCTAACTTCTCCTGGGCTGGGCCAAATCCCAGACCACCAGCTCCACAGGGACCACCGGGCTTCCAGAGGCCACCATATCAGCCCAGACAGGGGCAATTCCAGCAGCCAGGTGCAGCCCCTGCTGCCCCAGTGCAGAATGATCAGATGGCTGAACTGCGGGACTTGGTGGGTTCTCTCGCCAGTGTTAGTGCTCAGAAATTCAACACCTTTGAGCAGTTCATGGAGAAGGCCTCGGGTCAACTCCTGGCTCTGGAAGCTGGTCAGAGGAATACAGGCTGTTTTGCAGGATATCCAGACCCAGCTGGGGAGCGTGGCCCAAGCAGTGGCTCAAAGGGCCTGGTACTCTACCAGCGCAGACCTCCTCACCCGCCCCCACGAGCGCCAATGCCATCATGACCAGGAGTGGCAAGCTGACTGTTGATCCCCCTGCTCGGGAACCGGAGAGAGAAAGCCCTGTTGCAGCATCTCCAGCGGTGAACACGAAGTAGAGAAGGAGGTTGAGGTGCCTGCACCTAAACCGCAACCAGTAGTGAAGGAGTATGTCCCTAAACTCCCTTTCCCTACTCGGTTGCACAGAGACAGGCTGGAGACAGAGTTCGAGAACTTCATGGCCATGCTCAAGAAGCTGAATGTCCAAGTGCCCTTCCTGAGGCACTATCGCAAATGCCAAAGTATGCGAAGTTTCTGAAAGAGCTTCTCTCAAAGAAGCAGAAGCTGAGTGAGCTGGCCACTGTGGAGCTCAGCGAGGAGTGCTCGGCTATTCTGCAGAACAAGCTCCGCAGAAGAAAAAGGACCCAGGTAGTTTCACTATCCCGTGCTCTATGGTAAATTGCATGTAGAGAAGTCCTTGGCGGATTTAGGTGCTAGTATCAATGTTATTCCATATAAATTGTTCATGAAACTAGGCCTAGGTGAACCCCGTGCTACTAGGATGACCCTTCAATTAGCTGACAGATCGGTAGTGCATCCTAGGGGTATAGTGGAAGACCTTCTGGTCAAGGTTGGCAAATTCACATATCCTGTGGATTTTGTTATCCTGGACATCAGTGAGGACACAGAAGTGCCTCTTATACTGGGAAGGCCTTTCCTGGCCACCGCCAAGGCTCTCATAGATGTGCATGATGGGACCTTAGTTCTGAGGGATGGCGAGGAGCGAATAACATTTTCTGTTGCTAACACTATACCTGCTTCGTTACCTCTGCATGCTGTCTCTCACCAGGAGCACGAGTCTGTCGTGTATCCTTCTGTGCTGCCTGTTTTGCAGGACCCGCCTCTCACACCTTCGCCGCCACTCCGGACTA